CTCCTCAGCCCTGTGTCCCTCCCCCTCCTCAGCCCTGTGTCCCTCCCCCTCAGCTCTGTATCCTCTTAGGCTCAGAACTAGTGCAGAAGTTACTCATTCATGTAAACCATTTCTCGTGCATGTTGCTCTCAGAAATTCTCACCCAAACAGTTTAAAGGTAAAAATTGTCTGTTTATGTTCTTTTAGATTCCTTGAGCTTCTGCCAGTTGTTTTTAGAGTGTCCGCTCGAATGCTGCTTGCAGAGAAATCGTCTAAGAAGTGACCCGTTACCTGACCAGACAATATGTTTAATGGCAAGAAAAATAGAGATGCCAGATCCCAAGAAAAACACTTGGGAACGGAACAGCCTCATTCTGAGAAGTTCTGACAGCACTTCCGAGGATAAGTACGTTACTGTACCGACACCGGGGCTTTCACTGAGTACTCTCTTCATTAATGAGTGGGTAGAAGCTTTTTACTCTAAACAGTGTGTAAAAAATATCCCATCTGGTGATTTTTGGAAGCCAGTCAGTTTCACACAACAGATGCCAGTTGTTGGGAGCTCACAGACATGGTTCTGTGCAGAGTTAAACTCAAAACTAATCGTGCTTTGAAACTGTCGTTGTAAATTTATGTGAATTGTCTGAGACATTAAGACTGGAAATAATTGGCTGTAGTTTTAGTTGTAATTCATTCTCATCTGATTATTTCATTGATTGGCCTCATAAATTTAACCACAAACTTGTATTTTTTTTTTCTGAGAGGAGGTGTCATTGCAAAATGAAAGAAAAAATCTCCAGTGAAACTGTGTGATTAATGCTGGTTACTCTTGTGTTTGTTTTCGCAGTGAGCAGATGATCATGAGTTTGCTGGCTACTGCTCTGGAAAATCCTGTGAAGCAAAACGAGGAGAACACTGAGCAAAAGGTAGCAGTGCTGGTCTTCACAGTTGGGGCTGTTTCAGGGGATGGTGAATGAGCGAGTTAATTACTCCTGAGCTGCAGAACACGGGGATTGCAGTAATTGAGAATTACCTGTTGCATTTCTTGATTGCAAAAGCATACACAGAGGAGTTAACCCTGTCTGAAACGGGTGCTTCTGTCACCTTATTAAGTTAAACCACTGAACCCCCTTTAAGAAAAGTTATGTGTTCTCTAGTAGTAAAAAAAAAATGCTTTTTGGAGCTCTCACATCCCACTGAGGAAAATAATGTTCACTTTGTAATGTCACACACACCTGCCTCCTGCCTCCCAGTTCAAAGGAGCAGGTGTGCATCGCGCCAGTCACTGCATGACTTGTTTTCAAGAAGTATTTCAAAAGCTGATGACAGTGTAAATCCAATTGAATGTGTTTGCCTGATTCCTCTCTTCTGCTGGTCACCCCGGGTAGGAAGCAGATCGAGCGATCTCTGCAGCTAGTACCGTCCATCAGGCTGATCAGACGTGCAGACGCATCATCTCTCAGACAATGAAGGATGCAAAAGGTACGTGTGGCACGTTCCAGGTTAAAGAATCCCAACCCTTCAGGTGTGACTGAGGCAATCACCTTCCAAAGTCTGGTCAAAGTCTGTAAATTTTGGTTTTGAAACATGAAATTTATTAAAGTTCAGCTTTTAATTTTCTTTTAGATAAAAACGTGCTCCCAAGTGAGATGAAGAGCCTGGCAGAAGAACTTAACAAACTCAAAGCAGACTTTTTGGAAGACTTGAGGCAAGGAAATAATTTGAAAAACCAGATTTGCATCCAAAATCAATGTTCTGACCCTGCTACAAGTCTCATTTCTTCATTCCAACATGAGGCAGCCAATGTAGTTAATAAATACATTTTTAAATGATGACATAGAGAATGTTGGTGCTTTTTTAAGAGTCCAGAGTGTTTAAGACACAGTATTCTCTCAGCAGCACAGCTGAAAACATCTGAGAGACAGGGCTTCCTTCTCTGGAGGCTTGTGCCTTCTCTAACTCCTGTCCCCATGTTACGGAGGAGAAATACAGCGTTATCGTGTTTTGACTCTGAAGATCAAGCCAACAACAAACCATCCTTAGGTTTTATTTGAATTTCACAGAATCTTAGAATAAGTTAGGGTGGGAGGGACACTTAGAAGTCATTTAGTCCCATTTACTGCTTACAACAGGACTAACTTCAACCTTCTCAGAGCCTCCTGCAGCTGAGGTTTTGAAGAGCACCTTGGATGGGGACCTGCTGTGCTCTGTCAAACGGGGAGCTGAGCGTTTCCAGAGACTCTGTGCCTGGGAAGGTATAAAATCAAGTGAGATGGACGGCTCCTGGCTGCTCTGCTTGTTTCCCTGATGGAAACCGCAAAGAACCCGAAACTTGAGAGTTGTGTGCACGTACACACGCACGTAGGATTAACTCCTACCTCCAGAGGAACTCAAAACTTGGTGCCACCTTTGAAGCTGCTGATACCAACATACACAGACGTTCCATTCGCCGTGACAACCACCTCACCATGATAGAAACTCTTGCTTTCAGCCACAGAAGCACTCTTGAGAAAAAGGAAATGGGAAGGTGTCCCAATGTGCAAGGTAACAGGGGAAAGGACTAAAAGGGTGTCTTGGTTCAGCACTAAAATGAGTAATTTCTAAATTAAATAGACTGGAAGGTGAATTTGGGAGTAGCACCGCTGCTCCTTGCTTACCCCAAAGGTAAGCTTACCTTCCTCACCACAGCTAGGCACCAGCAGTTCACTAGTTCCACCTCTTGAAACATATGCAATTAAGAAATAAGACTTAATTAGAAAGTGTTATTTTATTCTTATCTTACAAAAGCAAAGCTTCACAACATGAACTATGCTAGATAGAGTTATTTCAGAATTAACCTTGTCATCTGAAAACATTCACTACACAATAAAATTTATTTTACAACTCTTAACGGGTCTTCAATTTTTTGCTTACAAAATATGATTTTTACACTGAAATACATTATTATTATTATTAACAAAGCAGGTACTTAGAAGCACGTACACGAGGATTGCTCAATGAAAAATGCTTCAGCAGGGAACAGATTTCCTGCAGCAGAACATCCATTTGCTAGAGATTTTCAAAGAAGCTTAAAATTAATAGAAAACTTGCCAGTGAAGATTTCTAAATTACATTCCCTTCGTCAAAAAGAAACAACAACAACAAAAAAACCAGACCAAGCAAACTTCCCAAACATTCTGGAACAAAACAAATAGCAACAGATCATTTTGTTAGGAAACACTGTTGGGACACATCTTCCAGCACTGAGTTTTATGTTAAAATGCCAATCTACATTTTATATCAAAATCTTCTTCATCTAAACATTGTATCTGTGAAAAAAACCCCAACTATTTTGTCCTCTCAGCTGTTTCACAGTTGGTTTAAGTATTAACCGAGATAATCTACTGAGATCTTCAGTCTCATATTTGTATGTTGATTGGAATATTCAGTCTCAAAATAACAAGCCTGTATTAAGAGTATTATAAATAGTGCACGTTTAAAGTGTCAACAAATCTGTAAAATAATCTATTACAATAAAAACAAAACCCACACAAATTTCGTGTTTTGCAACTACAGAACTTAACAGTGGAAAAATTTCAGCTCATTCCCAAACTTCCCTGTTAATACGAGTTAAAATATTGTGAGGGAGGGGAGACACTGGCCCAGGTTGCCCAGAGAAGCTGTGGCTGCTCCTCCCTGGAAGTGTTGAAGGCCAGGCTGGATGAGGCTTTGAGCAACCTGGTCTAGTGGAAGGTGTCCCTGCTGATGGCAGGGGGGTTGGAACTGGATGAGCTTTAAGGTCCCTTCCAACCCAAACCATTCTATGATTCTATGAAAATGCTGATTCCCATCTTACAATATTATAATATCAGGATCTGTTTGTTTGGGTTTTTTTTAAAGAAGTTAGTGCCGTATAGCACACGGAGACCTCGGTATGAGAAATCCCACTGAGCGAGGACTCAATCCCACAATCCCTGACAAATATCCCTCGTTGACTACGAGTAAGGCCTCCTTGTGCCAGGGAATTGTCAGGATCACACTCCAAAATGATTTTCCAGTACTAATTCTGGTCTTTAAATTGTAGTAAATAGTAAATACAACATTATGAGAAACTAATATGAAAATACACCTTCCAAACCGACTGGGTAGACAGCAGGAAACAGATCTACTCCGAGCACTGTTTGGCACAACCAAACACACACTATTATGGTGAAAAATTAAGAATCCTGATCCAGAGGGTGCAGCTCTGGGAAGGACAAGGACAGTCAGGGATCCACCTCACAGCTCTGGTTGCAGAATCAAGGGATGAACACCAAACCCTGCTGCCACCTAAGAACCCCCCCCTGCAAAGAGGAGCTTGCACAAGGAAAGAAGGGGAAAAAAATTGATCATTTTTCAACAGTTCCTAGATATTCAAGTTAATTTTTGTTTCCTTTGTTACTCTGAAGCAAAAACAAAGGTATTAAGTCAGCAGGATTAAAATACATCTGAACAGCAATTTGGATAGTTTGGAGTTAGATTTTTTTCCATACTGAGTTCTATCAAGAACACACATTCTCCCTCAACAAGAGGATCCCCTCCTAAATAAGGGCCCCTTTTCAGTAAGATTAAATTGTTCTTCTCTCACCCTAGAAGTTTCCTTACCCTTGTGCCCCCCAATCTTCTCCCCTATCCAGTGGGTGAAGGGCTGTGTTGGCTGCTGGCCGAGGGCCGGCCCAGTGACACCATCACACCTCTATAAAATGCAAACTATAATGGTCTTTAACAGCAGCATTTGTAGTTCTAACATCATATTTTAGCCAAATTCACGATGGGTCAATACAGAATCAAGAGCTACCATTTCTACACCATTCTTTCACTGGAAGAGTCACGTTACAAAACCTGTGCAGGAGCAGTAACTTCCAACTGGGTTCCAGTTCAGCCAACTTTTAATCCTGAAAACAAAGGACTCTCTATGTTTATGCACATGGAGTTGCTGTTTCGCTTCTAAAATAAATTTTAGAAGTCTAAAGCAACAATGAGATATTTTGGAATTATAAAGAGTGTCCTTATGAAAAATGGAAATTCTATTCTGTTTTACAAATCTGCTGAAATGGATTTTGAATGAGGCCTGAAACCAAAGACGTTCTTAGGAGTGACGTGTTGTTATTATTGACAGGCTGAGAGAGTTGGGGCTGTTCAGCCTGGAGAAGAGAAGGCTCCGGGGAGACCTTATAGCGGCCTCCCAGTACCTGAAGGGGCTACAAGAAAGCTGGGGAGGGACTTTTCATAAGGACAGTTAATGACAAAACAAGGGGAAATGGCTTTAAGCTGAAAGAGGGGAGGTTTAGATGAGATATTAGGAAGAAGTTCTTCACTGTGAGGGTGGTCAGACACTGGAACAGGTTGCCCAAGGAAGTTGTGGCTGCTCCTCCCTGGAAGTGTTGAAGGTCAGGCTGGATGAGGCTTTGAGCAACCTGGTTTAGTGGAAGGTGTCCCTGCTGATGGCAGGGGGGTTGGAACTGGATGAGCTTTAAGGTCCCTTCCAACCCAAACCATTCTATGATTCTGTGATTATTTATCTTTGCTACACTGGAAATACTTCAACGGCGAGTTTTTTACCTCCCTCCTACAAGACTATGTGCAGCCAAGAATCCAGTTCCTTCAGCTGGCTGCTAGCACAGAAAACTCAGCAGCAGGTAAGTCAGGTAGAGAGAAACCTATTTGCTTCCCAAATTTAAATTAATTAAAGTCAAAATTACATCAAAATTCTCAGAAGGGTGGTTTTCCCTGCGTTGATCTTACGCTGAAGTTGTTGTTTTTCCACTGGCTTTGGGAAGCTTTAGCTGCCAGAACAATACAGATCTGAGTAAATCAAATATTTGCTATTCAGGTTCCAACCTCTGACTTGCAGAACATTAATAAAATCTTCCTGCTTTTAACAAAACACATTTGCTGCTGTATTTTGCTGATGGTAAAAGGGAAATACGTAAGGGAAGCTTTAACTTGTCTCCAGTAAGACAAACTAAGGTAAAAGTGCACATCTAAAATATGGGAAAAGTAACAGTTCTTCACTTTTTGAAACATTACAAATTCCTGTGTATTAATAGAAGCATATTAAGAGCTTTTATTAATTCTGCTCGGATGTTCTGTTTAGGTTTATGTTAAAGTGCCTGTCCTAGGTGCTTCTAAAGTCAACCGTACAGTATAAAAAATAAAATAAAATAAAATAAGCATGTGCAATGGACTTCACGTACATCCTCAGTTACCATCTGCCACCTACAATGATTAATCACAATGACTTCAAACGCAATCACAGCTGGTTTTGTATTCGCCTACGACGTGAACAGCTCAGAAAACCCTGAAGCCCTTCCCCTTAGTTCCAGCACAGCAAAAAAGGACAACAAATGTGTGAGAAGGGACCAGACAAACCACGTTAGCTGAAGTTTACCATAAACTAGATTATACGACTTCCAAACGTACAGGCAACTTATCAGTTGTAGCTCAGCCCCAGATAAAACTGAACCGATTGGTTTTTAATTCGTAAACCTTTTGTTTGTTTCTATCAGAACTTCTATCAGCGAGACAGAAGTCTAATTGTGCAAATTTTAAATATCTGTACAAATTAGTTTTAAGGCAGTTAAAAATCTCACGGAATATATATTAGTTCTACAAGCTCTTTATTATGACTGTTTCAAAAGAATGACATGTAAAATTTGGTAAGTGTGGTTAAAAATAAGGTGTCAGGTTTAATTTCTTCTTCTGTATAACTAGTGAACAACAAGCTTTTAACTCTTTCCTAACGGAGTTTCATTCCCAATAACCTGCTATCTTCTAGTTTTCCAATGAGTTTTAAAAATAATAGTTGAATTAGTGTTTGAGCCTTAGCACAATGAGTTTAGACTGTACTCAGCAAAAAACTTATTATTAACCTTCATCAGATTAAAGCAAGTTTTACAACAAATTACATTTCTGTGTGAAAGTTGCTTCTGTTTGTTTTTCCAGTTTGGAGTAGCTACGTTTTCAAGGATAAGTATGTCTCCAATATATTAACCATGTGTCATTGCATCAACCTTTCATATTTTATGGTTAATATATTTTTGTCTTGCCTAGTAAATAGCCTGATGATTGCATCCTGCGTTTTAGGACACACTTTCTCTTCTGTGTTTGTAGAAATTTTATTGGGATGAAGTGCAAGCAACTTAAATTCAGCAACCCAAAGCACGTGAATTATTTCCAATTCTTATAGCACTCTCTCAGCTTTTTTGAAAGGCTACGTGTAAAATAACAACCACATCTTAGACAAAAAATTCCCTGGCAAGTTTTACGACAACATAGAAATGAAATTTGCCTCCTTTATCGAATTAATGTGAATATTCCTTAGGGGAATGTGCAAGCTTTCCTTCAGCAAGTATGAAAAATATACTGTAATATGTTAAAAAAACTAAATGAAAGCGTGTTCTCAGTCAATGTTGACTGTGTTGGCCTCTTGCAAAATGGCAAGCGAAGTCATACTTGTTTTTACACTTACACCCACATATGTTGCACTGAAAAGGATTTTCAAATCCATGACATCCCATGTGAATGGTATAAAGGATATTGTCCGCAAAGTACATGTCACAGTGTTGGCAGTGATGCAGAAGCTGAGGGTCCTGAACCGGAAGGGTTGGAGCTGGAGTACTTGGTTGACTGTTACTTATACTGGGAGTACTGGTGTGGGCACTGCGATCGCTGCTGGGACCTGCCACGGGACTATAGTTCCTTTGATTGTGGGTAGGTCGAGGATCTGGGCTGGTTGGAGATGAACTTTGAGGAATATTTGCTGACACAGCTGAAACTACTGCAGGTGCAGCAGGCTGCTGAATCATGAAAGGCTTTTCATCTTGACAGGAAACAACATCAGGAGAGGCTGGATTTTGGTTTTCAGGTGGCAAGCTAGATAACTGTCCAGCTAACGTAGAGAGCTGGTTTAAAGGATTATCAACCATAAGGTCTTGTGGATCTCTTGGCAACCCACTGCTCTGGGTTGTTTTTGTCATGTTCTCGTACGCTTCAGTCTGGATATTTGGGATTTCGTGAGTGAAATCATTAAGGTAGTCTGGTTTCTGAACCACCATGGAAGGTGGACTCAAATTAATTAATGCTCTTCTGCTGTACCCCAAATTGCTGGTCTTCTTCTGCAAAACCCCCCACATTTTCTTGCTGCTTAGGGAAGACCTTGTACCCTTGATAGGCACCATTTTATGTTTGCGCCTGCGGTGGTGAGATAAATTGCTTCTGTCACTGCAGCGGAAGGAACACAGTTCACACTTGTATGGTTTTTCACCAGTATGTGATCGCATGTGAGCTTCCAGATGACGTTCATAAGCTGATGCAAAGGGACACAAGTGGCATCTGTGCGGCTTCTCACCTGGAAAATTAAAACAGATTACACTATAGTGTGCCTTCAATTTGGCTAATACTTCCTAGCACCTTTGTGAAAGTTCCTTTGATCAAATGAGTCACACACACACCCTTTGATAACGGGAATAGCTGCAGCAGCACTGAGACCAGAGCCACCCTGCATGTGAAGTTCTGTCCTCGTGGCATAATCCTAACGCTATCACATGCTACGAGAAACAACTCAGAACATTAGTCAGGGCACAAACCCAAAGCATTATGCTTTGGCCTTATCCTGGTTTCACTAGGATGGAGTTAATTTTCTTCTCAGTAGCTAGAACAGCTGTGGTTTGGTTTCAGTGTGGGATTTGTTGAAGAAGAATGTTGATAACACACTGATGTTTTTAGTTGTTGCTGGAAGTCCAAGGACTTTGTGTTTTGCTAGCCTGCAAGTGCAAAGGACTCGGGGGGAGAAGCGTAGCAATTGGCAAAACCCCAAATTGGCATGTGTATGTGCCAATGAGATATTCCAGAGCATATAATGTCATGTTCAGTATATTAATGAGGACTGACCAGAAAGCTGAGGATTCTCTCAAGGATTGCTCGGGCTCTTCCATGACTGCAGTTTTGGGTTTGGGGTTCCTTTTCGTACCTCCAGGATCGCTGTTGGCAGGTGGTGAGCAATTGTACTCTGCATCGTTCATTCATATCTATTGTTATCATCATTATTATTTTAAGTTTATTTTATTCCAATGATTAAATTGTTCTTATCTCAGCCTACCAGTCTCCTCACCTTTACCCCTCCAATTCTCTCCCCTGTTCCCAAGGGTGGTAAGGGGGAAAGGGGAGAGGTGAGCAAGCAGCTGCATGGTGTTTGGCTGCCAATCAAGTTAAACTATTACAGCCCTAAAACCCAAATTTGTGTAGTTCATGGAATGTTTGCTTCTGAATAATGACCACTGGGTCAGATTTTTGGGGGACTTTTCTCAGCATCCCAATTTTTGGTTGGAATCTTTCTTGCTTTTCTATATATTATGCTGCAACTGTGTTGAAATGGTCATAATCTGCAGGAGGTATCTTTCTGTCTCCTCTAGCTGCTTAGTGACCTCTAGTCCCTAAAGTAGCAGCAGGATAAGAAAACATTCTGAAAACAAAAGAACTGTTAACCTGAGATTTGAGAGTATAAAACAGGTAGGCAACTTTATCTAGAGCACAAGAAGGAAGGCTGACACTATAGCAATATCTGTATTTTGATATTTATAGAAGGAAGATTTCATGTTTTTGCTCTCTAGTACGTCTAAAATTTATGACATTTGATATTAAGTAACACCACATTATTTCAGTTACTCTGTTTGAGAAACCCCATGCACACCAAAGCCACCAGAAACATCTCAAGAATCAGCAAACACACAATACCAACATCTTCTAGTAGCAATTTATGTTTCCCATCACAGCTCCATCTGCTCATGCTGACAAACTGGCCAGTAGAAACTGTGGGCTTGGGGATGCATTTTTTTTAGATGGCAATAGCTATATGCTACTGAAAAGAGGTGAAATTTTAAAACTGATGTTACTTCTGCAGCTTTAAGTACCATTTAAAAGTCATCCTAAGAGTGCTACAGTGAACTGCGAAAGTCTGCAGTACAGTTTCTCCCACTACATTGCGCAAGCTCAGAAATAGAACTGCACAGAATAAAGCTGTTAAACGAAAAACATCTCTCATTGTCCACGTACCATGTGAGGCAAATGGCAGGTGAAGCTGTAACTGCTTTATGAAAATCTAGACAAAGAAAATGCTCCAAAACACATCTCTCCTTTGCAGACCTGCAGGAAGCCACGGCATTAACGCTGTGTCAGTCGCAGCTACACAAGCCCCGGTATTTTACAGTTCAGATATTTTACAGTCCAGATATTTTATCTGCTATTGGAACTACACAATAGTTCCAATTTCCACTGGGAATCTGAAAACAGCAACAGCTACACACAGAGGGAGCTCACAGTAGCACAAGAGAAAAATGGACAAGATTGATCAGAGTCTGAACCTCAGAGCTCTTTGATTTCTAGTTGGTTGCCATTTTCTATCTCGTTATGACTTGCTGAAACAAGCCGACACTGCAGGGCCAGGACAAGGAGCGCTGACTTGCTGGGGAGGGACTTTT